AGTGAGCCAGTCTGTACAAACCAAGTGTGTGTCAGCTCGGTAGGCGCGGGAGGCAGAGTGCGGGGCACCGGGGAGGTGGCACCGGCCAGCTGTGGGCAGCGGCACGGAGGGGTAGCCAGAGGAGCTGCAGACCTGGAGGACAGAACGTAGCCACTGTGAGCACAGCTTGGTGTGGACGCTGCTCACAAGCAGCTAAGCCCTGCTCCTCAGGCCCAGCAGAGAAGTCTCACTGCACGCTCTGTAGGCGGTGGGGCGTCTCTGCCACCCCACCCCTGGTCAGGCAGTGTCCTCAGTGGTGCTGGTGGCAATGGTGGTGCTGGCAGCGGTGGCCCCAGAGGCCGAGCTCAGGGTCAGTTGGAAATCTCTGGCAATGTGATTTATAAAAGGCAGCAATCCCATCCCCAGGAGCCCCAGTCAGCCATGGCATAGGGGTGGGGGGGGCGACAGACAGGTGGGGCCAGAGGCTGACACCTGCGTGGGAGGGGAGCCGGGCACTCCGGGCTCAGTCACCATCCCGGCCCGGCTGGACAAAACGCGGGCGAGTGGTGGGCTCAACACTGGCCCTGGGCAGCCGGTGGCCACACTCCCCCGACTCACTGGTCCTGTGTATGGTTTTTCAAGCTGTCAGGTCTGGGGCCAGGACTTCACAGTCAGCCATCTTGGATCCAGCCGCCTTAACCACTTTGGCTTTTTCTTTCGAAGTTAAACTCATGTCCACCTGTGGGGTCAGCGATGGTGTAGCAGTTATGTCTCTGGACTCCCACATAGTAGACCGCAGTTTGAGTCCTAGACCCGCTTGGTGGCTTAAAAAGATTCACATCAGGCCCATGTGCTTGTGTGCCCCAAATCCCCAGAGGAGAGTTGGAGGAGAAGGGGTTGCTGCGTGGCCATCCCCCGGGGAAGTGATTTCTTGCTTTCTGTTTATTTGACCCTATCTCTCCAGCAAGCACATGCACCCTATAGCAAATCTCTCTAGGAAAAAAACCCAAACATATGCCCACCTGTGACTCAATATTACACTCCTAAGTGTTGACCCAAGGAAAGCAAAGCACATCCACAGAAAAGGCTTGCACACAAATACTTGTAGCAGCCGTGTTCACGCTGGCCCCGTGTCCGTAAACAAAGGTCGGATGAATAAGCTGCAGTGTGCTCACGCTTTATGTGGCCTGGCCGGCTATTCACCCACAAGAAAGGCCATACGCATGACACGAATGACTCACAAGCACAGCGTGCCTCGTTGGGCCGGCAGGTGGCGGGGTGGTTAAGGGCGCTGACTCCTACATGGTCTACTGTGGTGAGTCCTGGGCCCAGTGGCTTGCTTCTCACTTTCTCTCTCGCTCTGTCCCTGTCTGGCCAAATTAAAATAAAATAATTATTTTTTAAAAAAGCTCTAGAACCTTCTGCACTTTCCCTAAAAAAAAAAGAAAGAAAGAAAGAAAGAAGGAAGGAAAGAAGCCTCTTCCATCAGTGTTTACTGTGTGAAACCACTTACGGACTTTCAGAAAAGACACGCCTTTTCCGTGATGCAAAAAAATCAGAACCCTGCTTGCCAGTGGGGCGGGGTTCATTAAGAAGGAGCCTGAGGAATTCCTCTGGGTGCTGGTGACGTTGTGTCCTGATAGAGGTTGAGTCCCACGGGTGTCTACATTGCTCAAAACCCCAGGAGTGGTACAATATATGATCTTGCATTTCGTTGTATGTAAACTCTATCTTTAAAAATAGAAGTATACACAAATATTGAACTCCAGCTAATGATGAACAAGCTGGAGCTGCAACTTTTAAATTAATCAAAATAAGATGGATTGATAGTTAGATGGGTAAATAGGTGAAAAAAGCAAATATAGTAGGGTCAGCAGGTGGTGTGGTATTTGAAGGCACTGGACTCCCACGTGGCCGACCACAGTTCAAATCCCAGACCTGGTGGCTTGTTTTCTTACTTTCCTCCCCCTCTATCTCTCTCACACACACTCAAAACAAACAAAAAAAAAACTCGTGGAAGAAGTCCCTCTTGTGATGGCGGGTCAGCAGACATGGCGCAGCTATTGTTGGGATCTGCCTTGGAGACCAGCTTGGCATTGGCGTGCAGGGAGCGCTCAGGCGTTTGCTTTATTAATACGCGGCCCGCACCCTGGCCCTTCCTACAGCGCCACCTACTGGCCATGGTCATTGCAGACAGAGCTGCTCCGGCAGGGCACTGCAGAGGGCTGGCGTCCGCTCCGAGGCCACAGCTCTTCCTGGTGACTGAGAATGTGCACGGGGATAACGATGGTTTGGGGCCCAACCTCCTCTGGCTGACTAAAGCCTGTTATGTGGACAGCTACGAGGCATCTGTGAAAACCTTTCCTGGTTCACTTCTGTGGGTTTGTGTGTTTGTGGAAAACAGACGCTTCCTCTGCTCAGGGTTCCGTTCCTGTATCATCACCCTCTCAGCCAGAACATTTTTTTTTTTAAGTTTTTGCTATAGGGTGCATGCCTTGTGGGAAGGTGGTGGGAGAGAAAGCAGCCCCCAGGAAGGATGGGCACGCCACAGTCCCTTCTCCTTCAATCTCCTCTCCACAGTTTGGGCATGCACACATGTGTGGAGGGTCCAGGACTCGTAGGGCAGTTGGCTACATGGGATCCAGCCGCCTTAACCACCACACCACTGGCTGACCCCTTAGCTGGTCCTTGAACTGTCTCTCTCTCCAACCTTTACCAAAGCCCATGACTTCCACACGCCCTGGCTGGCCTGGTACACATGGAAAACCAGGCCCGTGTGCACGTCCCAGGTCCTGGCAGGACAGAGATGGGAGACAGGATTGCAGCAGGGCCATGCCCACGGCGGCATCTCTCTCTCTGTCTTTTACTTTCTCCCTGGCCAGCCCACGTGCCCTCTGGCTGTAAAAGTAAATAAGTGAAGAGAGGCAGGAGTCCAGTCCTCCAGGCAGTGGTAAGGCTGAGTTCTTATCTGAGGCCACCGGCTGGAGCCATCTGGGTGTGGGTGAGAACTGCAAACCCGGCGTGGCCTGCTCCTGGTCTGAAAGTTAGCCTTGTTTTCAAAACGGGTGGCAGGCCTGATGATAAGGGAAGCGAGAAGACGTCACAGGTGTTCCCGTGCCCAGGCCGAGCCCAGGGCAGCCCCCTCCTCTCGTGGGTTCACAGGCTGTGAGAGGGCCTGGGGCTAAACCCCAAGACCCACTGGAACCTGCCCTGCCGTCCTGGCTACGCCTGTCTTGAAACCTCAGCTTGGCTCCCCCATTACTCTGTCCCCGGTGCTCCTGTCTCTTGCATTCAGCGATGTCTGAGCGGGTGTGAGCAACCCCCTCGGGAAACGTGGGGGCCGGGATGTCATTTCCGACTGCGTCCCCGTGCACCTGGCATCAGGGGAGGCGCTTGATGGATGTAGGTGACTGTGTGGTTGCCGGAATGAAGGAAGGAATGATTGCGTGCACTGCAGGTTCT